TTTGTGCAATCCTAACCTTTGTAGTGGGTAGCTGTTCCAACTTTGACCTAGAAGTACTACCCCCAGTGAGACTTCTGGCAATGGTCACATCTACCTATGACCTGCCCCTGAGGCAGGGCCAAGATGGGAGCCCTTAAGACCCAAGATCCGGATGTGCCAGCTCCCTTGGTTCCTGGTGATCCTAGATGCTGGATGGTAGACCAAGCAGAGTTCTTCAGAGAACCCAGCTAGACTGCACCTCACCTCTCCCAGATCCTGTAATCAACCCCTTTACTAGCTGTAAGTTACCACCCCCAAAATAAACCTCCTTTTTAACTATGTGGAGTTGCCTTAATAAATCCCCCAATAAAACTTCCTCTTCTCAAATTCTCAAATATTCCATGCTATTTTCATAAACTCATTAAAATTTTTATATTTGATGTGAGAATTTCACATGGCTATCAAGTTATTTTCTTGATATCTGTTATATATGCTCCACGGGGATTGAATCGGTCCTGTAATTATTATTCCTTGGTTCTAGCAACCCTGTGACAATCGCATAATAAAAACTATCACTCAGTGGTACTCCAGGTGCTAGACTGGGTTTGGGAACACATATTAAAGTCTCAATATGAAAAATAATGAATATTACACAGTGTGTTTCTAAAAATATTATTCCAGATCTAATTTTTCAAATCTCAAGACTCCTATGTGGAAACTGACAGTATCTTTGGCTTCCTGACTTGATAAAGAGTCTATGAAAACCAGCGCCAAACCTTCTGCTCTTCCGGCCTTTCCTCACGACCATGGTGGAGCTCCTTAGCTAGATCAGGCGTCTAGCTGTCTCTAGCTGTAAATCATAAGTAATAACTACACTTCAGTCTGACTTGTGATGTGTTCTAGATCTACTTGCAAATTTCTCAGTAAATTCTCACAAAGCGGGTGCTTGCAATTCTCTCTTAAAATAAGTAGTCATCTTTCTCTTCTGTTATGTCAAGTCTTAGCCAGTTTTGAAACATCCAAATACACCTGCATTTCTAATCCCTTGGAGAAATTTGAAATTTGAAGTATTGAAATTTCGTGTGTGTGCATATATTTTGAGACAGGGTGCCACTGTGTTGTCTAGATTGGCCTGGGACTTTCAATCCTCCTGCCTCAACCTCCTGAGTGCTGGGATTACTGCCATGTATCACCATTCCTTGTTCTTGAAATTGTTCTTGAAATACCCAGCAGGACTTATAATCATTACACATTTATATGATGGGTTTCAAGACTAATCTTGAATACAGGAAACATGGTTCCCTTTAAGTCCTTGCCTTAAACTCTCTGATATGGTTAATAATATGACACAAATCTCAGAGTTTGGATTCCAGTGGGCAGGATATGGGGATGATGGAGGGGCTGCAAGCGGAGAAACTAAAGAACAGAGCAGGAACCAGGGCAGGGCAGGGCTGCGCCCACCCGCAATTCTAGCCCTCAGGAGGCAGAGGCAGGAAGTTCAGAGTAAGTTCTCATCAGCCCAGCCTACTAGGTGACTACAGGCCAGCTGGGTCCTAGATACAAGAACATCTCACCGTCCTCGGGGGAGGTGAGAAGGAAGAGCGGGTGATGATATTGCCTTCAGGACTGAGATGCCAAAGGAAATAAATCACGGCCAGGGACTCTCTGAGAGGTAATGGCTTTGGAAACACCAGTGTGGGTTAATTTTCTAATGGGCACTATTCATTACTGTCAGGTGTGGTAAGTGCTCAGTCCATCAGCAGTTGGCGATATCCCCCAGCTGCAGGAACACCATTTTAGACTCATGCAGACACCCCTAACAAATGTACTGAACAGAGAAAAATAAGCCCAAGTTTAAACATACAAAACATCTCAGTTAGAACTGCACTCACTGAATTCCCAGTCGTGGATTCCTTCACTGGCTGAAATGGCTTGGGGCGTGGAGGCCAGAAGATCGGGAGTTCAAGGCCAGCTACATAAAGTTAGCTACGTAAAGTTCCTACATGAGACCGTCTTGAAAACCAAACATAAAATTAAAATCTAGATCGGCGATCTGGTCAAACAATAAATAGGAAAAGAACACACCGAGAATGAACGTCTCTCTCCTAGGTGCTTCGCCTGAGCCCCATTTGTCCTCAGAGAGACTGCTTCTCTTCTTATTGCCATTGTGATTTACAACCTCTGCCATCTGCAAGGACTCTGAGCTGATGTCATGGTCTCCACTGCAGCTCCATTCAACATCTTCCCTTCCTATACAGAAATCTCAGGCCGCTGAGGTATGAGGAGTGGCGTCATTTTTATGGACAGTCACAGTGGAGGAGAGAGAGGAGATAGCCTAGTTGGCCTCCCACCATCCCACTGGACTGAAATCTCTGAACATAAGCCACCCAGGACCTCTTTAATCTCTAAGTACAAGGTCTGAGCAAGTCACAGAGGCAGTGGTCAAAGAGAAGCCACCTGTATGGGTTCACCCAGCTATCCAAGTTGTACTGAGGAAATGCTAACACCCAAACCTCAAGTTAACAGGACAGCAGATTCTGAAAACTGAAGCCAATCCTTATGCCAAGAGGCAGCCTGAGTAAATAAAAGAATGGAGCACACACAGCTGTGGACCGTGGGGGAGCTTCAGCCTGCATTCCGGAAGTGGGTGTGGCTCTGTTCAGCCGTGGGTTTGGTGGCAGTAAGCCTTCTACTAGAACAGGGCAACTTTTCAGGGTCCCCTAGGATATACCAGACTAGACTCCACATCCGAGAGGAAAATGACCCCTGGGAGGGGCCCCCTTTCACACTAATTTTTATCAACCTGCAGAGAGATGCAGAACGTCCTGGGCTAATGTCATATTGGTGAACAGTGACCAGGAACGGAGAGAGGTGACATGGTCAAACTGATCCGTGAAACACAGCAATTCAGGACTCTTCTGTCACCCTGGGGATGAACCTTGCAGACTGCCACCATCGGCGACTGTTCCCAAAAGCTGAAGCACGGTGCATCGCCACCTGTTAGCTATGGGCTGGCGCTGTGCTGAGGTTTCATTGATCTGTTGATTCCTCACGGTGACCCTAAGGGGTAAGGCTTACTTACTATCAATAAAGAAGTAGGAACCAGGGCTGGGGAGATGATCAGGGTAAAGTGCCTGGTGCACAAACATGTGGCTCTGAGTCCCAGAGCCCCAGCACCCAAGTAAAAAGACAGGTGTGGCTCCAAGTGTCTGTGACCTCACCATGGCAGAGAGGGAGATCCAGGGGGCGCTCCTTGGGCAGCCAATCTAACCCAGTTGGCAAGTTTGGGGGTCAGTGAGAGACACTGTCTCAAAAAAGGGGTAGAGAGTGATTGAGGAAAACATCACAATGTTGCCCTCTGACCTCCACAGGTCTATGTGCATGCCCTCCCTGACACATATGTATGCGCACATGAACACAGTCACACACACACACACACACACACACACACACACACACACACACACACGATCCCCAAACCCCAAAAATTGAAACCTAGAGACAGACATGAACTAATTTTTGAGCCGGGACTCAACACCAGGTGTGGTGTTTACACGCCTGTCCTTCACCATCTGCCTCCTGCCTCTCCCTCCCTGACAGTCTGGAAGAATGCCCCAAGACCAACCACAGACAGTGTGGTCAGGCAAGCACAAGGTCCCTGTGTCTGAGAGACAGGGACACACTGCCCACAGCCCTCATCCTGCCGAGATGAGACGTGCCCCCACCTGGCTTCTCAGAGACCCCATCAGTAGGCTGTGGACATGCGTGCTAGATGCTCTGACTACCCAGATTCTCTGTTGAAAGAAAACTGAAGCAGTGCCGCATGCTATGGGTGGACTTGAAATGAATCCGAGGCTATAGAGAAGAAACGAGACAGAGAGTCCCCTGCTGTGCACCAGGCTCTCCATGCCACACCCAGGACGCCATCAGGGACAGCAAACCTCACAGGACCTTTTGATTCCTGAAGTTTCAGGATTTCTGAATCATGTCTTGAACATTAAAACACGGTTTGTCCCCCCAATCTAATTCATTTCTTTGGAACTGGTCTTCTTGAAGTTGAAATAAAAGCTGGTCCTCAAAACCAGCTTCATTCCTTACTCTTCCTTTTGCCTAACCTTCAAGGACAGATATTTTCCCCCAGAGTATGTTAACAGCCATCGAGGAGACTAAAATATCAGTATGTCTGAGAAGTTATTTTTAAAAATCATTTGGCTTAGAAAACTCCAATCATGATAATTTCAAGGGAATTCTCGGGACACAAATTAAACGTTTTAAATTACTCTTCAAAGATCTGTGAGTTCGAATAATCTTAATTTAAAAATATCCGCCCCCATGCATATGCATCAGGAGTCTCTAAGTTCTGTACCATACAACATTATGTTGGGATTTCCTTGTGTGGTCAGCAACAACACACGCATACAACGCACCGGCACCGTGAGATGGACCGCAGAAGGGCCGGCCCATCTCCCCGACGGCACTTTCACCTTCCGGGCCTGAGGGTGTTTTACCTTGTTAGTGGGCTTCCTCGGGCCCAAAGAGGCGTAACAATCCTCACTGTTGCATGCATCAACTGAAACACTCTGTCTGAAAGTGTAGTACTGGCTTTAGATAATGTGGTATTAAAATAGCAAGCCAGAATCCGACTACAGAGATGCCAGCCTGGCTGTCTCATGACCTTGGGCGGGGCCAGCCTGGCTTCTCTAACTTGAGGACTATTCCCTAAGAGTGGACTTACAAACTCAAGATAAAAGCTCTGGCAGGGCAGGTAGGTATTCAGTAAGCTGCATCTGTTTTACCTTAAAGAATTCACACACCAACTCAAAGCACTGGGTGCCCACTAGTACGGTCCCAAACACATTTCTGCCACAGCCAGAAGAGCTTCAACCCGCCTTACACTGTGTGGATTGGGGCCGCACTTGCTGTGTTCTCGGGCCCTGCCTGAGAACACGATTTCAGGAAGCCTACAGGGCACTGTAGCTTAACAAAACCAGTGTGTCTACTCCAAGTTCGGGTTTTCCTACCCTGCCTTTCCCAAGAAGAGCTTCACTTTGTGCTTCTTAGGCAGACAGGCCTGGGCAAAGGGACAAGGACCAAGCCACACAGGGTGCCTCTGCAGTTGTCTTTGAGGCTGTGCAAGATGACCACAGGGCCTCTGGAGCTCCAGCAGATTGAGAGTCAGGGCCCAGGGAGGAGCAAGAAGCCTCAGGCAGGAGAAGGCCGGAATCCTGCGTCCGGCCTCGCGGCGGGGAGCCCAAGTGTGCCCACAGTCAGTCTCCAAGCAGTTAGGGGTGCAGCTGGGGTGGGGGTGGGGGCGCATGCAGCTGGGTTAGTCTCCACTCGGCCACGCGGCTTGGCATGCCCGCTGGCGCTTAGGCAGAACAGACTCGATGCTTACAATGATCCCAGCCCAGAACGGAGTGTCTCTGACTAGCAGCGAGGGGCTGATGCTCGCCATGAGGAAGCCCAGCACCGTCACCGCGATGCCCAGCGCCAGCTGCAGCAGCGCCAGCAGCAGCGGGAAGCGGCAGCCGCAGCAGGTCCGTGCCTCCTCGTCCACGCGCTCCTGCGCCCCGGGGCTCGGCTTGCGCCCCATGTTCAGGCCGGTGGTGGCTGCGGTGGCTGCGCCTGGGCCGGGCGGCTGGGCCTGCCTTGTCTGCAGCTGAGCAAATGTGGAAAACACTCTCAGGCCACTAGTGGCCGAGGGGGACCCGAGGGGGGTCGCCAACTGCCAACGCGTAGGGACCCGGAGCCTAGGACCCATGTGATGGGAATGCCAGCCCGCTATGCTTTTTGGTTTCCAGGACCTGCAAGGCAAGGTGATGAATGCTGAAACCGCTGGTGTTTAATCAATAGATCACTGGACACAAAAATGGGCTCGGCTGGCTGCACTAACAGCTGAGAAGTCACTGCCAAAAGTTAAATTACGTTTTTTTCTAAATCTGTAATCCAACTAACAAGGGAGGTAGGGAGGGAGGAAGAAAGGAAGGAGCAGAGGAAGAAAAATTAAGAAAATGGTAAAGAAAAAAAGGAAGAGAAGAGAAAAGAAGAACAACCCTTTTTTCCCCTCTCACTGAGGTTCTTTTCATTGCTGGTGGGTGAGATGATCTGAGTTTGCTCTCCAGACCCACAGTGGAAAGAGAAAACTGATTCCGAAAAGTTGAATCCCTGACCTCTCACACATGTGACTCACACATCGCACACATGCTCACACACCATAATGATAATAATTGATTAAAATTTAACAATGGAATAATTGTTCGAAGGGCGGTTGGGCTAATGGTTTGTTTTCAAAAGCGCTTCGTCCTCATTTGTACGTTGTGACAGTCTCTTGCAGCCCAGGCTGGGTTCAAACTTGCTGGACATCCAGAGATGACCTTGAATTCTTACCTCTCCTACCTCTCCCTCTCAAATGCTGGGATTACAGTGTGCACCACCACACCCAGCCCCTGGATTTAAAAGCTATTATAATCGTGTCTCTGAGGCCCCCAGTGAGTCTTCACATTTTGGCTAAAGGTCTAGGGGTGTTGACGACTCTTGATAGAGATGCACAGTTGCCCCCAGGCAACATCTAAGAGCTAGTTCTAGCACCTGCAATGTACCAGGACAGGTAGCTACAGATCTGGTCCCCACCGGAAGGCACAGATGGGTAATTCTGGTTGTTCCTATTTATGCCTACCTTCATACAGCAGCATTTGGGACAAACTACAGTGTGAAACCACGAAGAAATAGTCCCTTTTTGGGGGTGGGAATTTAGACTTCCTTTTGTATGGTCACTTTCACATTCAGAAACTTTATTCAAAAGGAAATTATGTTTCCAAGATGTTAATAAATAAATGATGCCTACTGCTAGGTTGGTTGAGATGGCCAAGCCTAGCTCCCTGCTGCCCCCTCAGAATTCCAAGCTAATTGCTGCCTACTTCTTACACACAGAGGCGCTTACTCAGTGAGACTCAGCACTTGCCTTATACCTTTTCTATACACCAGTGAGAAAAATATGGTTCATAGATTAAGTCAGTCAGAAGCAGAACCCGAAACACACATTCAGTCCCCACTCAGGATGGCCTGATCACTGCCACACTCACCAGGGGACAGTGCGGCACAGGAAGTCTACCATCAGTGTTGGGGTCACAGAACCATGAGGATTTCCACAAGGTATGGACAAAAGCTGCGATTAATATAGAACATGATTCCCACTGACAAGGACAACCCAGCAGAAAAAAAAACCAAGAACGCTTGGTCTTTCTATGTAAATCTGGTAAAAATCACAGGGAGCCAGCAAACTATCTGTGACTAGCTATTTGTTCCTACAGCACAGCTCCTAGTGGGCCTGGTGGCACAGGCCCATATTCCCGGATACCGCGGAGACGGAGCAGGTGGGTTGTAAGTTCCAGGCTAGGGTTAAGGGAGTATGGAGAACTCTGCAGAGGAGAGTCAAGCGCCTGCTTGTCCCTGTCACTGTCACTGTCTAGTTAGCGTTTCTATTGCTGTGATAAGACACCATGGCCAAAAGCAATTTGGGGAGGAAAGAGTTTATTTCATCTTACAACTTTCAGGTCACAGTCCATCACGAGGGGAGTCGCAGCAGCAGCTGAAGCAGAAGCCATGGACAGAGGCTGCTTCCGGCTTGCTCCCCGTGGCTTGCTCAGCTTGGGCTTTTTTTTATTTTAAGAGCACTCAGGACCACCTGCCCAGTGAGCTGCCCCCCCCCACATCAGTCATTAATCAAGAAATGCCCCCACAGGCTTGCCTACAGGCCAATCTGTGGAGGCTTTGTCTCAACTGAGGCTCCCTCTTCACAGATGACCCTAGCTTGTGTCAAGTTGACAAAAAACTAAGCAACACATCCCTGGGGCTAAAGAAATGGCTCAGAGGTTGAAAGCACCTGCCACTCTTGCAGAGAACGTGGGTTCAAACCCCAGCACCTATATTGAGCATCTTACACCCATTTTTAGCTCCAGCTCCAGGATTGGGTGCCTGTTTCTGGCCCCCATGGGCACTGCACACACAAGGTACACACACACACACACACATGCAGGCAAAACAGTCATGCACATGACATAAAGGTAAATACATGTGTGGAGCCACCTCTCTCTGAAGGGACAGCACACAAAGAAAATAACCAATGGTTAATAGAAGTATAAAGCTGTAGTAAAATTTCTCTCTTGTTACGGCTTGAATCTAAATGTCCCTCAAGTGTCCATGTGCCAAAGACACTGTCACTTACCTCAGGCACTATTGGGAGATGGTGAAGACTTAGGGAAGGGGGCGGAGTGGGAGGAAGTCCTGTCCCTGGGGCATGCCCTTGGAGTGGATACTGGGACCCTGCCCCTTCCTCTCTCTCTGTCTTGAGGGAAACTGTTTCTGCCATCATGAGTTCTTGCCGTGATAGACAATGTCACCACAGACACAAAGCCACGGGGCCAAGTGACCATGGACTGAGGCCTCATGATCAGGCAACTTGCCTGATCATTACCATCCCCTGTGTGCACACACACACACATCAACATCTTTATCAGCGTCCTCCTCAGCACAAAGACATACCGAAACATCTCCCTGAAAGGGGAAAAAGGCAAGAAAACCAACTGAAAAGGAGGCCAAGGTTTAATCTTGCTCACGGTGTCTGAGGCCTCAGTCCATGGTCACTTGGCCCCGTGGCTTTGTGTCTGAGCTACCTCAGATCTCCCCAGCCTATCAAAATACATTTATAAATCCTAACTGTAATCTTGATTCTAATATTGCCAATATAAACATTTCTTGAAAATCTTTGACTGCATATTTTATCTGTTGGCTGTTGTCTTTAGCAACCATTTGACCACTACACTTTGGATGGATGATAGTCAGGTTTTCTAAGCAATGACATTAAAAATAGCCACAGCAGCAGTAATGCCTGGGAGATACACATGCTAGTCGAGGCTAGAAACTGTCTTACATAATATGTATTTAAGTGGGAATTTCCCAAGATGGGATAAGTGGGTTGCTCTAGTCCTTTTTTCTTTTAACTTATGACTAAAGCCTGCAACTTTTAATCTAAATTTCTTTTTCTTTCCACTTATATTTTGAGCTGAAAGACTTGGGGGTTTGATTGTACAGATTTAATTTATATGTACCTAAGCAGTTGTTCATGCCAAGGGAATGTGCCTCTGTTGTGCACAGACTTCCTGTCATTGTATCAGGGTGGTGAGTTAAGCTGTGATGTGGGGTGTCAGCCATGAGTCCCTCTTAGTGATATTTGGCTCCATATTACCCACCTCAGTGTGAGAGAAACTGTATGTTCTTTTTTTATTTTTTTGTATGTGTACATGTACATGTGTGTGCACAGGTGAAGTGCTGTTGCACTAGTAGATTCACAGCATGTGGAGGCCAGACTTCCATGTTGGGTGCTACCTCAGACTTCCATGTTGGGTGCTACCTCAGTCACTTTTCGGGACAGGATCTCTCACTGACTCTGGAACTCCCAGGCTCAACCAGGCTCTGATCCTCTTGTCTTGGCCTCCCCAGGGCCAGGATTCTAGGCACACCAAGTTGTGTCTGGTGTTTAAATGTGGGTGCTGGGGACTGAACTCGGGTCCTCAGGCTGGCTTGGCAAGCACTCTCCCAACCGAGCATCTCCCCAGCCTATCAAAATACATTTATAAATCCTAACTGTAATCTTGATTCTAATATTGCCAATAAAACATTTCTTGAAAATCTTTGACTGCATATTTTATCTGTTGGCTGTTGTCTTTAGCAACCATTTGACCACTACACTTTGGATGGATGATAGTCAGGTTTTCTAAGCAATGACATTAAAAATATCATAAAATCATTGTAAACACTCTATGTGTTGTACAGAAACTATGAGGTTCTCATTCTGATAACCAATTCTCCCCCCCAGATGAGCAGTCAAGTCACCAGCTGCCTTTAAGCCAGACTGGCATCTCTGGTCATCTTTAATATGCGCACTTCCATGGACTCAGTCCCCTGCACTTAATTCCACATCTAGTCACCACCACTCTTAATGTTAACTTAGGATGCACTACTAACCATGGTAGGGCTAGCTCCTTCTGTACCCCAATTCTGTGAACTGCCAACCTCAGCTGCGTCCAACTGTGTCTGTGAGTGGAGCAGCTCCTTGGCCGACTCAGTCTGCTTTTCTTGCATGAGATGTGAAGACTGACGATACTTGCCTCAGAAGGTTGGCTTGAAGTTTAAGTGATGATATATCCTAGTATTAATAATTGATCAATTGTAAGTGATCAGTAATTATTAGCTGTCATCTTTATGCTGTCTCCCTGACCCTCTGCTTTTTTATTCATAATATTCTTCAGTGTGCTTTGTGAAGTTTATATCAAATAGAAAGGGTTCTCTATATATGA